TATTTATTTATTCATTTATTTATTTCGAAGATGCAATAATACACACAAAACTGCAGAAAAATTGGCACAATCACAAGAGAAAAGAAAAAAAAACTATCACTTCACATTATCAATAGTTTAGTTCTTTCAATACAATATTCCACTAATAGAATGCCTAACAATATTAAACATATAGTCAGTCTTAAAGACGTACAGAAATTAACTGTTGGATATTCATACCATGAATAAATAAATAATGTCAAGTATATACATTTTCTATTTTCAACTTTTTAATTAGTTGAATATTGAAAATATCTAAGTTTCGAAATTATTTCACATCTGTCTACAGCGTCGTTTCACATAAAAGCAAGCAGATAATGAATTGCTGAAACACACAACATCTGATGGTATTATTTTACAAAAGTTTAAAACGATACAACGAAAAGATAGATAAATCTATGAATGAAAAAACTTGAGGTGCACGAAAGTTCCATGTTAGTCGAGGTGTTTGAATGCAACCATTCTGAAGTTCCATTTAGGACTGGAAAAAAGAGTCCAATGATATTATTGTATCAAAACAATTGCTGTAATAATAGAAAGTATGTGTAAGCAACTACGTAAATAGAATAGGAATATCGTCTTGACATTCGAAAATATTTCGTGGTTTGTTATTCGTTTCCTTATTTATTTGATAATCTGCGGCTGCATTTTCTGCCTCAGCACGAATCTTCTTTCTTTGAGCCTGTATTTTCTTCATTCTGTAAAAAAAAAAGCTTCTGAACATAGAATTCAACGTGCATTCTTTAGTTAATCAAAATTTTGAAGACTGAAAAATTGAAATATAAATAAATGACTGATAGCAGACGGTCCAAATCGAAGCAATACGGCTTGTATTCTAATAGAGTTTTTGGATTACCATTGTAAATTGGTTATAAGTAAGGTTATGAGTAAGGTTATGTCCGTTATTCTGTTCTTATTACCATCAGATACACTATATGATTGATGAATTCAACTAACCTAAAGAACTCTTCACGTTCCATTTCATCCAATTCGGTAAGAATGTACAGAAGTGTATTTTCGATTCTTGGAATGATCACTATAAAACGAGTCTCAGTCGTACAATATTAAAGTTGAATTTTTTTGGTACAATTTTAGAATTTGTCCCAAATACAAATCTGTCAGAATATGAAGGAGAAAAATGATAAAGGTCCTTTTAATCTTTTTAAAATTCATGAAAGTTGACAAAGCAGCGAACCATGTTCAATAGCATTGACACGTCGATTGGTAATCTTAATAGCTTCATCAAGAGTTATAAAGCATGTTTGCAACGTTGCTAACTCAACCAACAACTCTACGGCATGGCTATAATTTTTCTTCAACTTTGCGATATTTGCACCACCTTTACCAAGACCTGTCAAATCGTATGTATCTGGTCCATCGATGTATGGGTCAAAAACTGGCAGGAATACACCTGAAAGTTGAAATTCAGATTTTTTATTCAAACATACATGATTTTATTAGAAAGTACAATTACAGTGAACTTCACAAGGGTTCACTAACGATAAGGACAAGGTTGCATTCTCTGTCGCGATTGATTAAAGTTTTTCTTATTTCTCTAATAATAAGCGATCTATGGAAATAAATAAAAAGTTCACGAACAATAATAGAGAATCAAAATCATTTTCCGTCTAGCGAAAAGAATAAATATTCTCCTTAAATGGAAGGAAAATTTTGTGGCAAGGAGCTCTTAATAATACAAAGCAATAACTGCCATATATTTGAATAATCAAATCATCTCGTTGATGTAAACAATACGCCTACGTAAGATCAATTTGCACTAACCTACAACATTTTCCGTCTTCATGAGAACGCGATGCTGAGCACGTGAGACATTCTGGATAACAATATGTGAGAAATCACCAGCAGTAAACTTAGCTTTTGCTAATGAAAAATTTGCTTCACGAAGCACTTCACCCATCAAGTTCTTATTCTTAAAATTATCAACTTTTTTAAAAGTAAAAAAAAATTAATAAGACAAAGAATCAATATGCACCATACAACTGAACCAATATGAAAAAGAAAGAAAAAAGGATGTCTTCGGATAATTATTAGTTCCAAAAAAAAAACACAAAAAATTGATCAAAAAATCACCTCTATAATTTTTCCTAAAATTGAACGAAAGCGTATATTTAGTGCGTCAGCTTTCTTCTTCAACAAGCTATGTCCCTTTTGAGCAGCTTTTAAACGAGTTTTCATCATAGTCTGCGCCCTAAAACGATATTTTTACTTCTTTAGATAAATTAAATTGGTAGATTTTCAATCTCATCGTACAGTTTGCTTTATGAAAATTTCCGCTTTCTGAAGTACCTTCCTTCATTATTCCATGTAATTCTGCCAGGCTTGGATAAAATTTGTGTTGAATAACAACAACTTTTTGGCAATTTATTTGATAATGAAGTTCTAAGGACTTAAATATAAATTAAGAGATGCTTAAGCTATAGGCTTGATATTATAAAATAATGTTACCACTGTCATATGTAAACTAGCCTAGACTGGGACTGCATAAATCGTACGGGGAGTGTGATAAAATAATAGCAAATTATATAAAGTAACTATTGAATTAGAAAACATATAATTATGATGAAAAACAAACATTCGAGATGGGAATACAGCAATGCGATCTTTTGTATTTCCGGACATCGTAACTGACAACTTTGTTTATTCCGCTAGATCTTGCATGTACCTAAAAAAAGAATATTGAAATGTATTTCATGCTAAAAGTATTATTATTGACGCACCTAAATAATGTTACGTATCTAAATAGCATACATTGAACTTTAATAATTAATTTTGCGTTTGCACACTGCCTAAAATTTGATAAATGCTAAATAACAATACATTAAGGTAACTGCTTATCACTCAACAGTAAGCAATAAAATAATCCTTAAAAATGAAATGAGAAAAAGTGGAAAAATACAACAATGAAAATCTACATGCTAATTCTTGTAAGCTACAATTATTGAAAGGATAATAAATAATATTACAGTTATAAATAATTCTATTAAGCAAAACAGCATGACATTTTGTATGGTATCAGCATGACCCTTCGTAAGCTGAATACGTGTTAGCAGCATCATAACGCTTCGTACGTTAAATATGCGCTAATTAAATTAATACAAATAATTGTTGGCAACTATAATCACTTTTCATTATGATTAGCACATGAAATTTGATTTACTGTACAATAAATCAATGCAATGCAATTAGTGAGATAAAAATCACACGTGCATTTATAAATATGCAAATAAATTAATATATATATATTAACACAGAGCAACAAGAATTTACCGATCCGGAATATCACTTTATAGCATTATAGCAATTTATTAGAATATATTATAACTTAAAAACCGAACGTCAAAAATTTTCTTTCAAAAAAAAAAAACAATCATAAATATAAACCGAAGATCAGTAATTGATCGTCACAGTACACCCTGAAACAGGGGAAAAATCATAGCAGCCGCAAATATAAATATAAGGAAACGTTGTTGAAATAAAATTCACATGCGGAATTTCCGATTTTCTTTCATTTTCATTTATGTACTCTATTTGGCTATATTATATTTGATAAAAATTATCTACTTACAATACATCTTATTCTGTTCTAAAAATGAATAATTTCGATCAATAATGAGAACACACCTCCATTCATTAAAATATTCGCATCTTGAATATTCACATTTTCGTTTCTTTCTTTTTTTTTTTTTTAAATAAATAATTTTATGGAAACTGTACAGCTATAATGCATTTATTGTAAAAAGCGTTGATATTAAACCTGAGAATTTCAAGAATTCTAAGTGAAAGTTTCCATCCATCATTTACAGCTGATCAAAAAGTTATTTGTTTACGAACTTCGAGCACAATGATGAAAGCTACACGTTCCTACATATGTCAGTGAAGAAACTGGAAAAAAAATCGGTCACTAAAACGCAAAATATCAATTACAAGTAGATATATGCATT